ACCCCATATGACTCCTATACGAATCCACTGGATCCTATAAGATTCCTAAACGAATCCAATAAGATCCTCCAGGACTCCTATACGAATCCCATTGGATCTTGTAGGACCCCTGTACGAATCCCAGTGGACCCTATAGGACTCCTATCCGAAACCCACAAGATCCTATGGGACTCCTATACGAGTCACGTGGGATCATGTAGGGCTCATATACGAATCTCATGAAGACCTTTAGGGCTCCTATACAAACCAATCGGATCCTATAGGATTCCGACCCAAATCCCATGGGATTCTTTAGAGCTCCTATACAAATCCCCTTGGATCCTATAGAGTTCCTGTACGAATCCCAAAAAGGGTCCATGCGAGTCCCATCGGATCCCATGGGACTCGTGTACGAATCCCTTAGGATCCGATAGGATTTCTATACGAATGCCATAGGCTCCTATAGGGCTCCTTTTACGAATCCCATTGGATCCCATGACCCCTGTACGGATCCAATCGGACCCTATAGAACTCCTATACGGATCCCATCGGGTCCTATGGGACTCCTATACTAGTCCCATGGGATCCTGTAGGACTCCTACACGAATCCCATTGGATCCCGTAGGGTCCCAGAGGACCCCATGGGACTCCCATGCGGCCTCAGGGCGTGTGGTAGGGTGCGTTTCATTGCTTTGCGTTGCGCTGGGGGGGGGAGGGGGCGGGCGCCAGCGAGTGGTTTCGTCAACAACAAAAACAACGTCAACAACAACAATTATGTTAAGACTGTTCGCTCGTATCTGCTCGAGTGTCATTCAGTGCGCATGTCCCGAATTCTCGAAACCAGCCCTCCTCGTCTTCGATCATACCACATTTGGTGGGTATATATCTCTTCGTGAGTTCTGCGTTATTAGCCAGGAAGTTTCCAGCGAGAGAGCGATACCTAAGTAAATTTGAAGAAGTCCGCAGCGAACGCGCGAATCTTGAATGGCAAGAGCGCGGCGCCTGAGCAGATTGCGAGGAAGTCTCAGGCGGGAGCGCGATTCTTGAGTAAAGTGCGAAGAGATCAAGCGGGAGCGGGGGACCTGAGTAAATTTCGAGGAAATATCAAGCGGGAGCCGCTGTTGTTATAAACCGAGGCCAGGGGCACAGTTTGAGAAAGACTTTTCCTTGTAAAAGACGGAGTGCGAGCACCGGGAGGGACACTTCAATCAAAAAATACAATGTGCCTCGAAGGGGGAGATCAATAATAATTATTATCCAGTAGTGAGAATTCAATAATATCAATATCATCATCATCATCAGCAGCATCATCATCACCATGATCACAACCATCAACATCATCACCATCATCACCATCATCACCATCATCATCACCACCACCGACAACATCATCATCAACATCATCAGCATCATCATCATTACCATCATACTCAGCATCATCATCATCCTAGCCACCACCACCACATCATCATCATCAGCAGCATCATCTCCATCATCTCCATCATCTCCATCATCATGACAGTCATCCTCATTATCATCAGCATCATCAGTATCACCACCATCAGCATCAGAAGCATCATCATCACCATCGGCCGCATCATCATCAGCATCATCAGCATCACCATCATCATCATCATCAGCAGCAGCATCACCATCATCATCGTCATCTTCGAAGTCATCATCATCAGCAGCAGCAGCATCATCACCATCGTCAGCATGATCACCCCACTACAACCACCATCAGCATCGTCATCATCATCGTCACCAGCATCATCATCATCATCACCATCATCACCATCATCATCATAACCATCATCATCATCGTGACCATGTCCATCGTCATCATCATCATCGTCATCATCATCCCCATCACCATCGTCATCACCATCACCATCATCATCATCATCATCATCGTCATCATCATTCTCCTCCTCCTCATCATCCTCATCCTCATCCTCATCCTCATCCTCATCATTTCCATCATCATCAGCATCATCGTCCTCATCCTCATCATAATCCTAAACCTCATCCTCATCTTCATCCTCATCATCCTTATCATCATCACCACAACCACCACCACCACCACCATCCTCATCCTCATCCCCATCCTCATCCTCATCCTCATCATCACCATCATCATCATCATCAGCATCATCACAACAATCAGTACCACCATCATCAGCATCATCAGCAGCATCATCGTCATTGTCATCATCATCGTCATCATCAGCATCAGCATCAGCATCGGCATTATCGTAATCATCATTCAAACCTGCATCAGCATCAGCATCCTCATCATCATCAGCATCATCAGCATCATCATGGTCGTCGCCATCGGCATCATCATCATCATCATCATCATCATCAGCATCAGCATCATCAACATCAGTATCGTCATCATCAGCATCATCAGCATCATCATCGTCATCATCATCAACATCCACCTCGACAGTATCGTCAAAACCAGCATCAGCCATCGTCAGCAGCATCGGCATCTTCATCATCATCATCAGCATCAGCATCAGCATCAGCATCAGCATCGTCATCATTACCATGAGCAAGAGCATCATCATCGTCGTCATCATCCTCAGAACCAAGGCACATAAGCAGCAGCATAATCGTGAGCGTCATTCTCATCAACAGCGGCCTCATCACAATCAGCATCGTCGTCACCATCATAAGAAGAATGAGTTGATCATCATTCTAATCGCCAGCACTATCCCATCATAATCAGCATCAGCAGCAACATCATCAGCGTCGTCGTCGTCAGCACCACCAACACCATTATCAGCATCAGCATAAGTATCATCATCACCCTTATGTTCATCATCATGTCCATCCTCAAAATCACCATCATCGTCCTGTAAGTCATCATGAGCAGCATCGTCGTCATCAGCATCATCATGAGCATCACAAACATCATCACAGCCACCAACAACCACACCAGCATCATCATCATCATCAACATCATCATCATCATCAGCATCATCGCCATCATCCATTCACAACCATATTAATCATCATCAACACCATCAGCATCAGCATCAGTATCAGCATAAACATCATCATCACCCGTCGTGCTCATCATCTTCATCAACAGCATCATCACCAACATTACCACCGCCATCATCACTGTTCGCCATCATCTTCACAAAGGAACTTCATCGTCGTCGTCAACATCATCATCATCATCACCATCATCATCATCATCATCACCACCAGCAGCAACAACATCATCGATCATTATCACCGTCATCATCTCCATCATCCTCACAATCCTCACCATTCTCATCACGGCTCTCTGGAGCCTGGACACACGAGATGTCACACATGCTGGCCTCCCGTGCCCCCTCGAACAGTCGCCGCCCGGAATGCTGGGATGGCACGGGGGCGGGACTTGCCGCAGGCAGCTGGATATCAGTCGCTGCGCCGCGCTTCCGACCATGCTCCTGGTCTGAAGGCGGCATGCGTGGAGGCTCGGGCTCGGGCCGGAAAATCCGCCGATCCGGCGTGTGAGTTTCTGAGAGCGTGGACTGGAGCTCGCTCAAGCTCCGCTCTGCAGGGAGGAGGGACGCCACTCCCGACGCAGGTAGTGCTCGCGGGCAACGGGCCCACAGCATTCAGGAGGAGGAGGAGGAGGAGGAGGAGGCGGAGGCGGAGGCGGAGGCGGAGGCGGAGGCGGAGGCTCGGGGAGGGGGGGGGGCGCCATTCCCGACGCCATTCCCGACGCAGTGGGTGCTCGGGGGCAGGGGAACCCACACCATTAAGGAGGAGGGGGGGACGCCATTCCCGACGCCATTTCCGACGCGTTGAATGCTCGGGGGGCGGAGGGGCCCACACCATTCCCGACGCCGTTCCGACGCTCTGACTACGAGGGGGCCGACGCCATTCTAAACGCCATTCCCGACGCATGTCGTGCTTGCAAACGCCTCCAAGACTCGCCAATAGGTATCCAACCACCTGCGAAGAGACCCACGAGGTCCAAATCGTCCGATCCCTATGGGCAAACGTACATTTTACCTTATACGACAATTCGGCCCTCACGACGTTGCCGACGGTCGCAGAGACCCCCGAGACCGCGTCAAGACGGCTCAAGAGGCTCCCAAGACGACCCAAAACGGCCCAAGAGGGCGCCAAGACGGCCCAAGAAGCGCCGAAGCCGGCCCAAGAGGGCTCCAAGACGACCCCAGGAGAGGCCCAAGAGGGGAAGCCTGGACCGAAAATCCAAGCCTTTCCCTTCACGAGGTTCTCGAGAGGCTCCAACAAGCCTCCACAAGGCCCCAACAGGCCCCCAAGAAGCCCCCAGGAGGCCCCAGAAGGCCGCCAACAGGCCCGAAAGGGGCCCCAAAACGACCCCCAAGAGGCTTCTCCAGGTCCCTTGCTCAATCCCCTGAGGCTCAGTCCTCAAGCCTGAGGATTCTTAATGAGCCCAGACCCCAAGCTCTCAAATCTCTTGGGGCTCCCCGCGCGCCCTCTGGGGCCCCCAGAATGTTCCCGCATGACTTTTTCGACCCCGAGAGAGGCCCAAGACTGGCCAACAGGGCCCCAAGAGGCCCTCAAGACGGCCCAAGAAAGCCCCGAATCACCGAACGAACGGTCCAAGACGCCCAAGATGGCCCCATGGCCATTCCCATGATAAACATCATCATCATCATCATCATCATCATCATCATCATCATCATCATCATCATCATCATCATCATCATCGTCATCATCACCATCATCATCACCATCACCATCACCATCGCCATCACCATCACCATCACCATCACCATCAACACCACAATCACCATCACCATCGTCATCATCATCACCACCACCATCATCACCATCATCATCATCATCACCACCACCACCACCACCACCATCATCATCATCATCATCAGCTGGAGCGCCCCAGCTCGGCGGCACTGGCCGGAATGCCAGCACAATCACGGGCAGCAGGCCACGGGCACCACATGGCAGGGCAGAGGGGCGGGAGGCCGGCCGCAGCCGCTGCCGACCGAGCGACCCCCCGGCACCTCCTGGTGATCGCCCTCCTGCCTGATCTTCGGGACCGCCCGCAGCAGCTCCGCCGCGGCCCGCCGAGTGGCCGCCCTGGGCGAGCGCCAGCACGCCCACCTCCACCCAAGACGCCAGCGCCACGAGCAGAATGGGAGGAGAGGGCGAGCGCGAGAGCGGCGTGAGGGCGAGGGTGCCGGTTGGGACGAGAACGAGGGCGAGGGCGAAGGTTGAGGGTTGAGGGTGAAGAAAGAGAGAGGAGGAGGAGGAGGAGGAGGAGGAGGAGGAGGAGGAGGAGGAGGAGGAGGAGGAGGAGGAGGCAGGAGGAGGCAGGAGGAGGCAGGAGGAGGAGGAGGAGGAGGAGGAGGAGGAGGAGGAGGTAGGAGGAAAGACCCCCGCACCCACCACCATGATCACCCAGCACTACGTGCACGTGTTCGGGGCCCTCCTCCTCCCCCTCCTTTGTTCTCTCTCCCTCTCTCTCGGGCCAGCGCCGGCGCTCCGCTGGCGGGGGGCTCTCCCCCCGCCCCTCCTCCGCATCCTGCCCCTCCGCCTGCTGTCCTCGCGGGGAGGGGTGGCGGTGCAGGCGGAGCCCCGGGGGATCTATGGCGTCCTTCTTCAGCAGGCTCCGCGTGCGGGTGGCCTCGTAGTTCTGGAGGGCGAGCAGGGCGACCTCGATCATCCGGGTCGCATAGCCCATCGTCGCCAGAAGTAAGGAGGAACAGAAGACTGCAAAGACGTCGGGAGCGGCCAAGAGGGGGGTGTCCAAGAGGGGGGGTGCAGATCATGACCGGCGGCACGTGCGCGGCCCAGCGGGGGGGGCCCGGGACGCAATGAGATCAGAAGAGGCGCCATGAAAAAATCTGGGGAAATACCATGGCCCACGCCGCGATATCCACCCCCCCCTAGTCATCACCCCCCTCGTTGCCGCCCCCGAAGACGTGCGCCCTCGCAGGTCGGCACGGGCTCTCGCCAAGGGCGGCGCGGGGCCCCCCAACGCCGCCACCCGCGGCAGCGCCCCTCGGCGCCTCCGGCGCGCTGCGCCTGCCAAGGAAGGGGTGCGTGGGCGGGGGGGCCCGTCGCCGACCCACGAGAAATCCACGCGAAGCCCAGGAAGTGCGTGCGTGTGTGCGTGTGCGTGGGCGTGGGCCTGGGCGTGTGCGTGGGCGTGAGAGTGCGTGTATGTGTGTATGTGTATGTGTGTGTGCTTGTGTGCTCGTGTGCTTGTGTGTGTTCGTGTGTTTGGGTGTTTGTGTGTTTGTGTGTGTGGTTTGTGTTGTGTGTTGTGTGTTGTCTGTTGGTTGTGTGTGTGCGTGCGCGTGCGTGCGTGCGTGTGTGTGCGTGCGTGTGTGCGTGTGTGCGTGTGTTCGTGTATACGTGTGTGCGTGTGTGCGTGTTGTGTGTGTGGTGTGTGGTGTGTGGTGTGTGTTGTATGATGTGTGTTTGTGTGTTGTGTTGTGTGTTGTGTGATGTGTGCTGTGTGTTGTGTGTTGTGCGTTCTGTGATGTGTGTTTTGTGTTATGTGCTGTGTGCTGTGAGTTGTGTGTTGTGTGTTGTGTGTTGTGTGTTGTGTGTGCTGTGGTTTGTGTGGTTCGTGCTGTGTTGTGTTTTGTGTGTTGTGTATGTTGTGTTTTGTGTGTTGTGTGGTGTGTGGTGTGTGGTGTGGTTTGTGTGGTGTGTGGTGTGTGGTGTGTGGTGTGCGGTGTGTGGTGCGTAGTGTGTGTGTGTGTGCGTGCGTGCGTGCGTGCGTGCATCCGTGCGTACGTGCGTGTGTGTGTGTGTGGTGGTGGTCTGTGCAGTGGTGTGGTGTGGTGTGTTGTGTTGTGCTGTGCTGTGCTGTGTTGTGTTGTGTTTTTGTGTCGGTTGTCCGTTGTGTGTTGTGTGTATGTTTCTGTGTGTTGTGGGTGGTGGTTGCTTGTGTGGTTGTGTGTTTGTGTGTTTGTGTGTTGGCGTGTGTGTGTGTGTGTTCGTGTGTGTTTGTGTGTGTGCGCGTGTGCGTGCGCGTGTGCGTGTGCGTGTACGTGTGCGCGTGCGCGTGCCCGTGCGTGTGCGCGTGCGTGTGCGGGTGCGTGTGCGTGTTCGTGTGCGTGTGCGTGTGCGTGTGCGTGTGCGTGTGCCTGTGCCTGTGCGTGTGCGTGTGCGTGTGCGTGTGCGTGTGCGTGTGAGTGTGGGTGCGGGTGTCGGTGTGGGTGTGGGTGTGGGTGTGGGTGTGGGTGTGCATGCGTGTGTGCGTGTGCGGGTGTGTGTGTGTGTGCGTGCGTGCATGTGTGCGTGAGTTCGTGCCTGCGTTTGTGTGTGCGTGCGTGCGTGCGTGCGTGTGTGCGTGTGTGTGTGTGTGGATGTGTGTGTCCGTGTGTGTCTGTGTGTCTGTGTGTCTGTGTGTGTCTGTGTGTGTCTGTGTGTGCGTGTGTGTGCATGTGTGCGTGCGTGCGTGCGTGCGTAACTGCGTGCGTGCGTGCGTGCGTGCGTGCGTGCGTGCGTGCGTGTGTGTGACTGTGTGTGAATGTGCGTTTGTGTGTGATGTGTATGTCGGCCGCCCCGCGTGCCCCCCAGCGGCCACGCCGCGAGTGTGCGCTCTCTTGTCTCGCCTCCTGCCTGTGCGGCAGCCTCTCTTCTGTCCCCCCCCCCTGCATGCGGGACAATTCGCAATACCACAGCCAGGGTTGCCTGGGCGCGCGAGCGGATTGCCGCTACCGCGCTGCGAAGGAAAAAGTGTGTGTGTGTGTGTGTTTATGTATGCTGTCGTCTGTTCCTCCAAGAAGGTCGTTAATGCGGGCCTCCAGTCTCTTAGCCCTCTGGACCATAGACCAGGCGCGCAGGTTCAGCTTTGTGTAGTCCTGAGGTGTAATGTCCTCGTTCATGCCGGCACAGCCGCGCACCAGCTCCTCGTAGTCGATCGTCCCATCGCCAGTGAGGTCGAACATCAAGATCAGGTTCTCGGCGTCAAGCACTGGGACGTCCAGAGACTCCAAGATTCTAGGCAGCGCTGGCTTCTGCATTTCCTCCTCCAGCTCTTCGAGCGTCAGCTTCCCGTCGCCGTCAGCGTCTCCGAAGGCGAATATCTCCATTGCCTCCGCCGCCACCTCCTTACGGTGCTGCATCTCAAGTTGCTTTCTTGCGCTGTCAAGCGACTTGGAGGAGGTCATGGAACTCAGGACTACGTTAGACACGACGCACATCACCAGGCCGTAGGCAGTCGCGAAGATGAAGCACGCAAAGAAGAAGAAAGCGGTGGGGTAGACCAGCGTGACCTGGCGGGCGATGTGGTCCGCCCACTCGGACAGCGTCACGATCTGGATCAGGGACAACATGCTCCTCGAGACGCTACCAAAATACTCATGGTTATCGAAAGATTCGAATGCCTCCACACCCTCCGCCAAGGGGTCGTTCCTGCCAATCCACACCGCGGACTCGCCAACGATGTCCTGCGCCAACACCGCGAAGGAGAGGACGAACAGCCCGAGAATCATCGCGACCCATACCAGCGAGTACATCGCGTTTCCTATGGCGGCGGACATGAGCCACAGCTCCTTTGGAGGGGCCCCAGGACACACAAATAAATACACACTTCCCCCCCACTTCCCATTTTTTTCCATATTATCTGGGAATCGACGATTAATTGTGTCTGTGTGTTTGTTCCCTCCTGATCCTTCTGCTCCGCGAAGAAGGGCGAGCTGCGCATGTACCTGCCCACGCGGAGCAGCCGCAGAGCTGGCAGCGCCCTCGCGTACGCCTGCTCGGCGGAGAGGATCGTCTCCGCGAAGGCGGCCATGTTGAGGAGCAGGTCCATCACGGTCAGTCGGTCGTGCAGCCCTCTGACCCCGAAGGTCATGAGCCTGAGGAAGCTCTCCGTGAAGTAGACCAGCAGGAATGCGGTGTTCGTGACCTCAAAAACCTGGGGAGCAAGCTGGTCGTAGTCGGTCGCGACCCCGATCGTGCAGATGTTGACCAGCACGCACGCGGCAAAGAACTTCACGAATCCTGGGCTGTCGACGAGGGCCGTCGTGTCCTCGGCGGCGGTGGCCCTGGCGACACGCTCCTTCCTCCACGCAGAGCCCGCGCTCACGCCAGACCCCATGGAGCTGACGGAGCCGTGCCGCTGTCTCGTGGTGGGTTTGCTGGCAGCTACGGGCTCGAGGTCCCTCTTGCCCCCCCTCGCCACGGAGGACGGCACGAAGGTCGACGCCGCCTGCTTCCCGGGCCTCTCGGCCCGCTCCTCCTCCGGCTCCTGCACCTCGTGCGGGTGGCGGAAGGCCTCCTCCTGGAGCCTCACGGCGCCGCGGCTGCGCTGCGCCTCGGACTTGGGCCTCGCGTCCCCGAGCAGGAGCACGCCGCGGTTGCGGCTCAGCACCTCCTGGAAGTGCTCGGCCCCGCCCCGGAAGCCGGCGAGCCGCGGCGGCACGCCGTCGGGGCGCGCCGTCGAGGCGGCCAGCATCGGCCCGACGCGGCGGAGGGCGGGGGGGAGGACGGGGAGGAGGCGGGGGGAGGAGGCCGCAGGACGCGGGAGGAGGGCGGAGGCGACGGAGAGGGGGCGCCGGAGGGGCGGCGGAGGGCCGCGGGGAGGGAGGGGGAGGGAGGAGGGGCAGGGGGGCGGGGAGGAGGGAGCAGCTGCAGCCAAAATGGCTGGAGGAGGGCCGGCCGTCGCCGGCCGGCACGGCCTGCCAGGTCCCCCTCCCGCTCTGCCGCAGCCTTCGCCCTCGTGAAGGCAGGGCGCGCACTTTGCTGCGTGGCCCGAGGGCAGGGACGAGGGTCAGGGGAGAGGCGCACCGGGGCTGAGGACAGGGGGGCGAGGAGGGGGAGAGCAGGGGAGGAGGGGCAGGAGGGCGGGGGGAGGGGAGAAGGCGGTGGGCCTTCAGACTCGGCCCAGTCAACAAGAGAGAAGGCAAGAGGGCGAGGGGGAAAACACTTCTCAGCGCACACTGAGATCCGCCGAGCCTGTCGGCGCGTCAGGGGCTCGTCTGTTCTAGTCGTCGTCTCCGTCATTCGTTAGTCGTCGTCTCTATCGTCCCCTTTCCCCACGGCCCCCTATTTCCCTGGGCCCGTCGCCGGTCCCCTTTCCCTGGGTCCTCCTCCTCAAGCGCGGCAGCCAGAGCGAAATTAAGCAAGGTCGTAATTGAGTCGAAGGGGAGCCCCGTCCATTGGATCCCTCCCCCGTCGGGGATGGGGTTCCCGAGGGGGAGTCCTGGGTCCCAAAAAAGCCCCAGCACGGGCCAAGAGTGCCCGAAGAGGCCTCAAGGGGCAAAACTCATAAAGTTCCCTCAAAATTTTGAAAGACTTTGGCGTTCTCGCCAATTCCGCTTCCCGACGCTCCAAGACGGCCCAAGAGGCCCCCAAGATCGCCCCCAGAGGGCCGAACGTCTTCCAAGAGGTTCACGAAATGGCCCAAGAGGGCCCCAAGACGGCCAGAGACGCCTCCTAAACAGGCCAAGAGGCACCCAAGACGGCTCCAAGCAGGTGCCCAGACGGGCGACCCGAACGGACATCTCGAGCCCTCGCCCTCGAGAAGATCTCGGGCCCCAAGCAGCCTCCAAGACGCCCCCAAGAAGCCCCTAGCAAGCCCCTGGAGGCCCCCAAGAGGCTCCCAAGAGCCCCCCTAAGAGTCTCCCAAAACGCCCCCAAACTGCCCACCAGAGGCCCCACCAGAGGCCCCAACCTGACCTCGACCTCTTCCTCCCCATCCTCCTCCTACTCCTGCCCCTCCTCCTCGTCGTCCTCCTCCTCCTCCTCCTCCTCCTCCTCCTCCTTCTCCTCCCCCCCCGTAGCAATTTTGGATCAAGCCGCCGCGCGCTCAAGGGAGCGGTGGCAGCGCGCGATTCGCAGCGGCGCAGCGCTGCCGAGCCACGGTGGCCTGATGCTATCCGTGCGCTACCAGCTGTTCGTGCACAGCGCCATCATCTCGCACGATTTGGGCGAGAAGTTCAACTCCTTCGTGAAGGGCTTTGGTGCTGGCCCAGATTCGTCGGTCCCCATCGTTGTTGGCTACGGCTAGGATGTCGTCGACAGGCTGGTGGGGTTTTCAGGAGGGCATCTCCCAGGTGGGGCGGATCCAGGAGCTCAACCTGGATATGAACAGGGAGGTCCTGGACAGGCACCCTGGGATCCTATGGTGGCAGGAGTGCCGCCATTCGAGGCCCAAGACGCCAGTTCGGACGAAGCCAAAGAAGGTGGACACGAAGTGCGACGCGGCGGAAGCCCAGAGGTTGAATCCCAGGCGTCGCCGTGCCATCAAGGACAAGCAGGAGAAGCAAAAGCTGGAGCAAAGCAAGTAGCAGGCTATGCTGAAGCGGGCGCTGGCGCGCAAGCTGTTCGAGGCGAAAGCCCGTGTCAAGAAGGCGGAGCCGGCGGCGGACATCAGCGCGAAGGAAAACCAGGACAAGAACCAGGGCCTCACGAAGGAGGAGGCCCTGCTTCTGGACCTTGTCGAGATCAAGGCCTTGACGAAGCAGGGCTGCGTCGAGCAGCTCAGCGACCTGGACAGGGCTCTGGCGAGGTGAGCGGCACGGGCATGCAGTGGTCAGACCCCGGGGAGTCCCCGTGCTTTCGGTCTTTCCTCAAGGATGGCGACAAGTACGAGTTGAGCGAGATGATCTCGGAGTGCGACCCCGAGGCCGAGGCGGTGGCGAATTCCGACTTCGAGGGCTGTTTCGAGCATGTGAACGATGAGACGACCGCGTCTTCGACAGGAGGCCAGTCGTCGCAGCAAGGCTTCAAGAACAAGCAGAAGAAGCAGACGAACAAGAATGGATCCAAGAAGAATGACCGCATGCCCAGCAAACACGGGGTCGAGGGGCCTCCTACCCCTGGTTTGCTCTGCTCGCTGGGCGGCACCAGCGAAAAGGAACAGGAGAAGATGGAGGGGGCCCTCGGCTCAGAGCGCACCGAGGGCAAGGGCTGCGTGGGCACGGACGTCAAGGTCGGGGTTGACGAGATGGTGGACTCGTTTGAGGACCTCGCCCAGTGCACCATCCTGGACTGCGCGCTCGCGCTCGAGGACGACGAGCGCAAGGTTGGCGAACTCCCTGAGGCGCCTGCCTTCACGACGTCGACGTCGAACGCTGTCGAGAGGGAGTCCTTGCTGGCCCAGCAGACCGAGCAGGCGCAGGTGTTGCCGAAGATGGGGGTCATCGACAGTGCCACGATCACTCCCATGGTCGACCACATCGACAGCTTGAAAAAGGCCGCCATAGGTGTGGTCGAGAAGGCTGCCGAGGAAGGAGTGGAGCAGTGAGGGGGAGGCCTCCGGGGGGGCGGACGGCTTCTAGACGGTGGCTGGGTTTCTGTGGTGGTTCGCTTCACTGGGCCTCCTGGGCTGGGGCCCTTTTTGGGCTCGCGCTTGGCCCCTTCGTGGGGTCTGGCTGTTTTCGGTGCCCTGCGCACCCCCGCTGTCTGGAGTCGTCAACTCTCCTGGCAGCGCCGCGGCCGTCGCGCCGAGCGCGGGAGCACCCGCGATGTAGTCAATCCCGTCCCAGCCCCGCCTTCTCCTCCTACTCCTTCTCCTCCTCCTCCTCCTCCTCCTCCTCCTCCTCCTCCTCCTCATTATCATCATCATCATCAGCATCACCATCATCAACAGCATCATCATCAGCAGCAGCATCATCAGCATCATCAGCATCAGCATCAGCATCACCATCAGCACCAGCATCATCATCACCACCATCACCATCACCCTCAGCATCAGCACCATCATCATCATCATCAGCAGCAGCAGCATCAGCATCAGCATCAGCATCAGCATCACCATCATCATCGTCATCATCATCATCATCACCATCCGCGTCCTCCTCCGCGTCCTTCATTTTCTGCTCCTCCGATTCCCATGATCCTCGTCCTCCTACTGCTCATTCCCCCCCGCCCTCCCCCTGCCCCTGGCGCGTAGCCGAGGCGGACATGGGTTCAGCTTCGCGACGTATCTACCTATGTAGGATTGCGCCACAGCTGAGCTCACACCTGTGGCAAGACAGCTATGGTGTCCTGTGTTAGCGCTCCACAATGGCCACGAGGCGATCGACTGATATGATTGTACAGGAAGAAGACTGCAACCATACATGAAATTCTGGGAAGATGGTTGAGCAAGACCGAAGAGAGCAATGGGGCAGGAGGGAACGGGGCGACGAACAGTCAAAGCGAGGGCAGAGCGGAAATGGGCAACAAAACCTACCATCTGAATTTTCATGGTCGGCGTTATGGAATCTGGACACTGTGGTCCACCCTCCACAAAGTGATTTCAGCACGGCCGTCGACCAGGAACTGCCCATGGAACGAAGCGTGGATCGCATCAAGGTCCAGGGGATGTCTCGGATTGTCGTGTGTTCGTTGGGGTAGTATTTCTGCAGACGCGCAGCGAAGAGCGGCTCTAGTGGATCAGGAAAGAGCGACAGTTGCAAAGAGGCAGCAGCTCTCCTCTGGAGTTTCCTGTCTCCTTCGCCGAAGACCTTCCTCGCTTCTGCGGCCGCTATCTCGCCGGCCTTTCTCCACTTCGGGCGAGTGGGGAAGCCGCGCATTGCATCGCGAAGCTGGGCCACGATCGACGAATTCTCCCAAAAGCTGGGTCCCAGCTTCCCGCGCAACGCTTGGACCAGCGGGGGGAGTTCGAACGCTGTTCGCTCGAGCGAAGACTTAATCTCTTCCCGTTCTGGGAATGTCTGCAGCACACATCTGATGAGCGCCGCAAGGTTCGCGACACGCGCACTCGTAAAACGCGGCCCACCCCAAGCGTGGAGGGCCAACAAAACAAACGAAGCTCAACGCACAGTGCGGCACAGCATATACCGCGGCGAGGTTGACATGCTCTCGAGCCTGGAGCTTCTCAGGCTGGAGGTGGAATTGGCCCACGCGCGAAAGAGTCGCCACAGCACGTCGGGAGTAGAGGACGGCACAAATGGAGGTCGGGGCGCGGGAATCGGCAATAAGGAAGGTGCGAAGTTGGCATTTGGACACAGGCGCGGCCCACGCATCACCCGCCGCACCAGGCCCGAGCACCAGTCAGAGATATACGAGCGCGCTTGCGATCTTAAGTCTTCCCACTCGGGCGCAGCAGACGATCCATTCGCGGATCTTGGTCTCGAGGCCCTTGCAGAAACTGCCCGAGAGTCGAACGATCACGCATTTCCTCCGCTTGAGTTTGAGACCAGCTGCTCTGTCCGAGACCTTAAAAAACGATGCAGCTCGGACAAGGATTGAATCGAATGAATCACATCCCCCTCGTCAGCACACGCACGATCCCCAGTTCCGGTTCGATCACCAGCCTCCTAAAGTGGACCTTAAACGGATGAGATGCTAGGCTACGCGTCACCCCCGACGCAGGACATCCCTGCACAATCCCCGACATGATCAAAAACAAGACCTGAACGTGCGACCCGAGAAACCCGTAGCAACATACATGGGTGTAGATGATACGAAGCAGAAAAAAAGAGGCGCAGGAAGAGCAAGAGAGGAGAGAGGCACGTCGAACCAGTCATGGGCAATGGAGGGGGAAGCCTGGGAGTAGTCAAAAGAAATTAAGAGAGGGAGGCGTGCACACACGTTCTCGTCCATTCCCGTGGCCCTTGCTGCTGCATCAAGCTCGATCGCATTAAAGCCGAAGTTGCGACCCACCTCGAAATCCCACTGAACTGGGCCTACTGCCAGGGGCGCGGCGAGGGTGAGGTTCCAAACCGCTACGTTCGTAGTGATCTTACAGTCAGCGCTTTTCAGCCCGAGGGGTTTGGTGTTTCGTGGAGTCCGAGAAGCGAACGAGTCGGTGTCCTCTGGCTCCTCAGACTCGGCTACAAACACGCCTCGAACGTCGTTGAAATCGAATGGCATTCCCTCCCCCGAAAGGCCCCAAGAGGCCCCCAAGAGGCCCCCGTGACGCCCCAGGAGGACCCAGAAATACCGCCAAGAGGCCCCCGAGAGGCCTCCTATCGTCTCACCAGCCCTTCCTTCTTGCTTCCCTCTTCCAGAGACCTCCTCCTCATCCTCATCCCCACCTCTTCCTCCTCCTCCTCGTCCTCCTCCTTTCGCCACGAACATACAAACCTACAGCACCAGTGATGCAAGATGGGCCAGCGGATTGGGCGAGGCGATTAATTATCATGATCAGACTCAGCATCGTCATCATCATCATCATCATCATCATCATCATCATCATCATCATCATCCTCATCATCCTCATCATCATCATCATCATCATCATCATCATCATCATCATGATCATCATCATCAGCAGCAGCATCATCATCAGCATCATCATCATCATCATCAGAATCATCAGCAGCAGCAACAGCATCAGCATCATCATCATCACCGTCATCATCACCTTCCTCATCATCATCATCATCATCATCATCATCATCATCATCATCAGCATCATCATGATCATCATCAGCATCAGCATCAGCATCATGATCCTCATCCTCATCATCATCCTCATCATAATCAGCAGCATCATCAACATCATTATCACCATCATCCCTCCTCATCCTCATCCTCCTCCTCCTCCTTCTCCTCCTCACTCCTTCTCATCCACCTATTCCTCCTAACCCCGTCCTCCCCTTCTTTTCCTCCTCCTCCTCCTCCTCCTTCTCCCTTCCTCATCTTCATTCCCTTCCATCGTTGTCCCCCCCCCGTTCCATACCCCCCTCCTTCCCCTCTCCTACCCACCCTTTTCCTCGTTCCCTTCCTCTCCGCCCACCTCCTCCTCCCCCGGGGCCTCTCCCCCCCTCACCCCCCCCTTTTTCCCCCTCCCACCATCAACTGACCCTCCTCCCCCTCCTTCCCACCGTGGCTTTCTATCGCGGAGACCAGCTGGCCCTTTGACTCCGCCGCTGGTCCGCCGCGGTCTCTAGAGGCGGCCGCCTACACAAAACTGCCGGAGGGGCACCATCGCTTCTCTCGGCACAGTCGAGTGCGGCTCTGTGGACCCAAGGCCTCCTCCATCCCTTTTCCTTATCAATAACTCCTCCCTGTCGCACCCCGAGTCGTGTCGGTAGGGCGGGCCGGGCGCTTCGCCTCAGACTTCCTCACGACGTATGCCCCTGAAAGTTAAAATTTGCAGCAGGTTCACGGATGGAGGGCGGGTGGTTTTCAAGATGTGGCTCTCGCCTGAGCGTCGCGCACATTCGTCTTTAACATTTGCGTGACGGAGCATTGATATGACGATGTGTGTTGTTCAATGTTTTCTTACTTGTGCGAGCATGTAGAAAGGTCGTCGACGGATGTGCCGAAAACCAAATGTTTGCCTCCTTCCTCCGAAGGGTTCCCCACTGCTTCCGCCTCCCTCTTCCTCCCTCCCCTTCCTTCGTCCACCCCGCAAGCACAAGCGGCGCGCGTGCCCCCCATAGCCCTTTTTAGCGCATGGTCGGCCCTCGCCCCCGCCCTCGTCGCGTCATCGTCGCGTGCTTGTGGACTCCTCAACGGCGCCGTGGACACACTCCTCGGTTCTATTTGGGGTTTGCTAAGGACGAGGAAAGCTAGGCTCGGCAATTTTGTTGTTGAAGGTGTCGACCGTGGAGCACTCTCCGAAGACAGATCGGGTCGGGTTCACGTTGTTCGGGCTCCTCTCCGTGCTTAACTGGTTCCTGCACCTGTTGTGTCGGGTCCTGTGCTTCTACGCCGCGGTCCGCCCTGGGGTGGGCACGGTGCCGAATGGCCCTTCTCCGTGCCCACCTCAGGCGTACTACCTTTTTGGGGCCTTCACATATTTTCATTTGTATTCTATTTTGTGGCAATCAATTTGTATTGTTTGGTCACTTCGCTCTCATGTTCGCACTGTGTATTTCTATTGTTCATTTCACTTTCGCTCAGTGTGGCAATTGTGGAGGTCATAGCGGAAGCGCCGGATTTCAGATTCCCTGCGCGGCCTGACGCGGGCGGCTGTTGTGAAGCTACTTGACGCCTTTGGTGGGTGGATTGTGGCTCGGCAGTAAGGTTCGGGTGGATCCTGTCTAACCGTTCGCCCAGCCGCTGGTTTCCAGCGGTGCCAGGAGATTTTACTCGTATACTCGGGTCGGCTTCCGTTCTTCACAGTAAAGCTCTGCGCTTGGTGTTGTGGGCTTATAAGTACACTCGGTGTTCAAAGGTGCGTTGTACCATTCAACTTGGTTGTTCAATTTTCGCGTCGCACATAGTGTTGTGGCGCACGCGTTCAGTTTTTACGGTATGGTATGACAGTCAGCGTTGTGCCGCGAGGGACCTGAGTGGCTTTTCAGCTCACAATAACGGTGAAGTTCACAACCATGTCAAGGTCAGTGTTGTGCCGCGAGGGACCTGAGTGGCTTTCAGCTCACAATAATGGTGAAGCTCACAACCATGTCAAGTACGGCGGGCAGTTCTACGATGCATGGCAGGGGACATCTCCCAGGCAGAGGGCGTAACATCCCATACCTGAGTCAGGCTGGCGCAGGCGTGACGTGAGAGAAGGGCGCAATGCAATCGGTTGCTTCGCTAGGATCGCACTCGCGATGGGGTCCACTCCACTCCACTCCTTCGTCCACCCCGCCCCCCGTTCCCTCCCTCCCCCTTTCGTCCTCACCCACGCCCTTTCCCTCGTCCGCCCTCGGGCGGGAAGAGCAGGGAGGGGTGGGGGGGGAGGCAGGCGAGGGCGGGAAGGCAGCGGAGGGCGGGAAGGAGGAGGGGGAGGGCAGGGGGAAGGAGAGGCGAGAGGGAGAAGGGGGAGGAGAAGGGAGCGAGGAGGGAGGAAGGCGGAAGGGGAGAGAGGGGAGAGAGAGGGGGAGAGAGGGGCGAGGGAGAAGGGCGTGCAAAGCGCACACGGGCCGCATTTCACAAGCAGGCCGCGGTTTAACTCAAGGTTGCCCCGCTAGCGGCGGCGCGCACGAGCCGCACGAGGAGGGACCGAGAGGGACGGATACATGAAGTATGTGTATGTGGCGTCCTGCGGGCACCAGGGAGAAGATACAGAACGATGGCAGATAATCTAGTTTGAGTTACGCGGTACGACAAAAAGAAGGTAGTAGTACCGGACGCGAGCGTGTAAATACATCCAGGAGTTATTCTGGATACTCAAGATTGGACGTAATCCAGAAACGAAGCACGCAAATAAGCCCAACATGCAAACACGCCAACGAAACCCAAATTTAACTTGTCTATGTTGCGTTACATCATAGATCTAAAGCATAAACCAACTGACCATACGATCTAAATTTGAAGAGCGAGCCGTCGAAAGAGGCGACGCTGAAAAGCGAAGCGACGTGCCCCGAATCTAACGAGGCTGCCGAGAAGGGGGCGCGGGGTTCACGACACACGGGGCCGTTCGGGGAAAGGCACAGGCGGGCGTCCAGAACGCCGCGCCATGGACCCAAAAGGTCCATGATCCATGATAGGCACGTCCAAACTCGGCACCGCGGCAAGCAAAACGCGGGGCTCGAGGATCAGGAAAAACTGATTTGTTGGTTTGATCTGCGGGGCGAGAGCGAGCCTCTTCCGCCAAAAGCTAGGCGGGCTACGCACAGCTTTCATTAGGGAGACAGGGCACAGGAAGGCGGGGCCTCAGGCGGCCATCAGGAAAAACTGAAGAGCGCCTTGAAACGAGCGCACGGCGCTGCCGCATCGCTGAGCGGGGGGGGCAGCGGGGACGTCGAGGGGGGGCAGAGGGTCGCAGACAGCCCCTCCGCTCGCGCGCCGCCTGCCCCATCCCGCCGGCGCCGCTCCCTCCGCTTCTGCGCTCTCGCGCCCATTGCTGCCCTGCCTCTCGCCACCCCCTCGCCCAGGCCGCGCGACGGTGCCAGGGCCCCGTTCCCGTTCGGCCCAAACGCGGCCAACGGTCCTCGCACTGAAGCCCCTGAAGAGAATTCCCCTGAAATGGGCACCGTGCGCGGACACATTCCAGGGCGCCTTCAGGGGCGCAGTAAAGGACACCTTAAGGCACACACTAAGGGGATTAAGGGGCACAGTAGGACACATTACGGGGCAACTCAAGGGGCACATTAATGGGCACAAAAAGGGGCACATGAATGGGCACTGTACGGGCACATCAAGGCACATCAAAGGCACAGTAAGGCGCGCCGAAACCTCCCTCGACTCCCCAATTTGGCCACGCTCTTACCGCGCATCAATTCCTTCATTATCACCTCTGTGCCCCGCTCACCCTTGCCCCGTCCCCCCCCGCTCGCAGGCAACGAACGCCGGAACGTCGCGTGGAACCAAGAACTGACGCAATCTATGGCATGCGCGCACAAATCTCGACGTGCAATCGCTGACGACTCGGCGAACAAATTTGCAACCGCGCGCGGGGCGCGCAAGACTCCCACCAGCCCTCTTGGCGTAGGTGGTCCAAGGCGTTTCCTCTTCCACCCCCTTCGGGGAAGGGTCTATCACTGTTCCCTATTAGTAAACACCCCCTCCCCCAGGCGACTGGGGGCCAACCAGGGTCCATGACAACACCCCCCCCACCATCCCTGGTAAAAAACAATACAAAACACACTCTGCCTCCAAATTCGGAACATTCGCAGCCAACCCGATGCAGCCCCCCCTCCACCATCCCTGTCAAAAAACAATACAGAGTACACTTGGCGGCTGCGGCGGCTGCGGCGGCGGTGGCGGCGGCTGCGGCGGCTGCGGCGGCGGCGGCGGGGGCGGCGGGGGCGGCAGCGGCGGCGGCGGCGGCTGCGGCGGCGGCGGCGGTGGCGGTGGCGGGCAGCGGCGGCGGCGGCGGTTTGCGGCGGCGGCTGCGGCGGCGGGGGCGGCGGCGGCGGCAGGCGGCGGCGGCGGCGGCGGCGGCAGGCGGCGGCGGCGGATTGGCCCCCAGTAGCTGCCCAACCAAAGACGACTGCTGAATATGCTGAGGCTCGGGCCAAACTCGGGTGCTACGTATGTGTTGGGAGGGCGGGTGGGAGTGAGCGACACGGCTTGCGGGCGGGGAGGGGGTCTTGACCCCTGTCCCTACCCCCTCCCCTGGACCTGGACGGGGCGTTCCGCGAGCGGTCGGAGCGTCCAAAAAGGCCTCGGCGACGAAGCCCTAATCATTGGTTTTACTATGGTTTTGGCCCCATGTTGGCCTCTTGGGGGGGTGCCTAATTTAAGCTCCCCTCTTGTTTGATCGATCTCCTCCGAGATGGCCCCAAGAGCGCTCCCAAGGCGCCCAAGGGTCTCCTCCGCCTCCTCCGCCTCCTCCGCCTCCTCCGCCTCCTCCGCCTCCTCCTCCTCCTCCTCCTCCTCCTCCTCCTCCTCCTCCTCCTCCTCCTCCTCCTCCTCCTCCTCCTCCTCCTCATGTTCCTCCTTTTTCCGTTTCGTTTCCCCCTCCTTTTCCTCCCCTTTTCCTCCCTTTCCTCCTCCTCAACCCTCTCCGTCTTCAATTCGTCACCCCTTCCGCGCATCCAGCCTTGCCTCGGTCAGTGTCTCGATCCCCCCCTGCTTTTCCATCCTTCCACCTGTCCTTTTCCAGCCTCCATCCCCTCCATCACACCATACCTGCTCAATGTCCACCACAATGTCCCGAGGCGCGAAATGAAGCGGCCTCAGGCGGAGGCTGCAATAGCGATGGGCGCGCTGGGCGCAAGCGCCTGTGGCGTTGCCTCTGTCGGCATGCAATTGGCACATAGCCAAAAAATAGCAGCGAAAGCGGCCGCCGCGGCCAGGTGAAGTGCCTGCCACGGGCGGCCTACGAAACCAGCTGCGGGAGGGCCGCCGGCCAAGCAGGAGGCGAAAGGGGCCGCGCCCCTCTGGGAGGCCAGGCCCCAGCGCCAGGTCAGCCACGTAGCCACCCGAGAGGCGAGGGCGAGGGAGAGGGGGGAGGTGCGGCCAGGCCGCTTCCGCCGCCACCACCCCAGCATCCTGCCGCCGCCAACCCTGCGGCGCAGCGCTGGCGCCGTCCTCGGGGGGGGCGACCAGGGACGCCCCGCGGGGGAGGCCGGGGTGCCTCCTCGCGCGCCTTTCTGACGCCCGCCTCGAAGATGGCCAAGGCCAGCCACCAGGCCGCCACCTGCAGGCGGGCCCAGGCAGGCGGGTGGGGGCCCGCAGCGCGCGTGACCCAGACGGAGATGACCCGCGGCACCGTCCTCCACCAGCCCAGGGGCAATCGGCACCCCCTCTCGGGGCGACGGCGGTCCAGGGCGAACTTGGGGCAGTCTGCGAGAAGATGCCGGGTGGAGCACCAGGCGGCGTGACACCACGGGCACCGGGCACGCGACCCCCCGGCTGGGACATGCCGGCGGGTCGGGGCCCACGTGCCGCCGCTGCGCCACATCCGGAGCCGCTAACGCTGCCTGGAAACCAGGGAGTAGGCCCACTGAGTCCAGACAGGATTGCTCTGAGTCTCAACGCAAACGTCACCGATACCTTTTTCGTCCTTGCGCCGCCCAATACCAGCCCATTCGGTGCGACACCTCGCCCGAGCACAGAAGCGGAGAACGTGCCGCCCGAGGTCAGGGGATCCGTCGAAAGCGCTGGCCCAAATAACGGCCGCGGCCGCGCGAAGATCCAAACCAGGGCCAGAGACCATCCGGACACCGCCGGGAAACAGCTGGCACGGTTGTCAGGCCGGGCGGCGCCCTAGGGCGGCTCTGTGGACCCAGGCCACGGGGGCGAGCAAGGCCGAGTCAAGGAGTCCAGCGGTGGCTTGGAGGGCCCTAGCATCAAGAGCGTACACGGGCGGGTGTTGGTAGCCCAGAATCTGCGATCGCACCACAAACTGGCCAGAATTCGTATGATGGCATCCTTCACTTGCTGGGGCAACCGAGAGGCGGGCGGCGGTTCCTGCATGAAGGGGGCGGCCCAGGTCCCTCAGAGTCGAGAATTGTAATACTCTGTTTCAGAGGCCCGAAGCCTCGAGTTCGGAGGCTTGTCGTGTGTTGTCACGTGTTCCTGCGCGTTCACGATGCAACTGTCGGAACGTAAGAAGGCACCCAAACAGACCAAGAGAACCCCAAAATTGCCCCACGATAATCCGAGAGGACCCCGAGTCGCCCCAAGATCGCCCCCATACCCCCAAGGTGGCCTCAAAACGGCCCAAGAGGCCCCCAAGACGCCCAAAGAGAGCCTGAAGTGAGCCCCCAAGAGGGTCCCAACATGAACAAAACAAGAATATTCCTACGCCTATTGAAAACCATTAGCGATCTCGCCGTTGCGGGTTTCCGACGCTCTAAGGCAGCCAAAAAGGAGCCCAAGATCGCCATACGACCGCGGACGAGGCCTCCAAGAGAGGCCAAAGACAGCACAACACTCATCCCTCTCATCCTTTTCCTCCTCATCAACCTCATCATAATCAGCAGCAGCAGCAGCAGCAGCAGCATCATCATCATCACCACCACCATCATCAGCAGCAGCAGCATCATCAGCAGTGGCAGCAGCAGCATTATCATCAGCAGCATCAGCATCAGCATCACCATCATCACCACCACCACCACCACCACCATCGCCATCATCATCATCATCATCATCATCATCATCATCATCATCATCATCATCATCATCATCATCATCATCATCATCATCATCATCATCATCATCATCATCATCATCATCATCATCATCGTCATCGTCATCATCATCATCAGCATCAGCATCAGCATCAGCATCAGCATCAGCATCATCACCATCACCATCACCATCGTCATCATCATCACCATCACCATCACCATCAGCATCATCATCAACGACATCAATATCACCATCACAATGATCATCATCATCACCATCGTCATCATCATCACCATCACCATCACCATCAGCATCATCATCATCATCATCATCATCATCATCCTAATCATCATCATCCTCATCATCATCACCACCACCATCATTATCATCAGCATCAGCAGCATCATCAGAAGCATCAGCATCATCATTATCATCATCAACATCATCAGCATCATCATCAGCATCATCAGCGTCATCATCACCACCATCATCATCATCATCATCATCATCATCATCATCATCATCCTCATCCTCAGAATCATCATTATTATTCTCATCCTCATCCTCATCCTCCTCATAGCATCATCATCATCATCACCATCACCATCACCATCATCATCATCATCGTCATCATCATCATCATCATCATCATCATCATCATCATCATCATCATCATCATCATCATCATCAACGTCACTACCATCATAATCCTTACTCCTCGCTCCTACTCCTTCTCGCCCCTCCTCCTCGCCCCTCCTCCTCCTCGCCCCTCCTCCTCCTCCTCGCCCCTCCTCCTCCTCGTCCTCCTCCTCCTCCTCCTCCTCCTCCTCCTCCTCCTCCTCCTCCTCCTCCTCTTATTCGTCCTCCTCGGCCGACACACGCCCGCGGCCGAGGCCACGGCGCCTCAGGAGCGCGGCACGCCTCCGAGCAGCGCGAGCACCTCCACTCGCCCGCGGAGCCTCCGCCGCACGGCGCCTCTGGGCGGGGCGCAGCAGCAGCGGCGGGATGCGGCACGCTCACGTCGCGACGACGATCGGCGAGGGCGTCGCGACGCCGCGCACGTCACCACTCCGCCCCCCTCGGGCGAGGAAGCGGTCGGGTGAGCGACGAGGGGTGCGGACGGGTGCGGCCATGACAGCGCCGGCCGCCTCCGCAGACCGAGGGTGCAGCAAAGCAGCCCCGCCGGGCTTCCGCATGCAAGGCAGCCCCGCCGGATCGTGGGGGCCTTCCGCTGGCATCCGTCGGGGGCGAGGGGCCAATCGCCGCGGGCGAGGCTCAACCCGTCGGTTCGGCGACGACGAGGCCCTCCTGGGAACTCGCAACATGCACTTTTCCTCCGCCGGCGATTTAACACCACAGTCGCAGTAGAACACGTAAATGACGCATACATGCTGGCACGCTGCGGTGTCGGCGAAGCCAGTCTGCTCGGAGAGCGGCGAAAGACAGGAGCGGCCAAAGGAACCTCAAGGCAGCTCCAAAAGGGCGCTCCGAGACGCCCAAGATGGCCCCAAAGAAGCCCCAAGAGCGCTCCAAGAGGAACCGAAGGAGGGCCAAAAGAAGCAAACATCGTTGATGTTCCTCGTGGTGCTCGATGTTTTTCGGGTTCTCGCGTTTTCGGGCTTCCGACGCTCCAAGATAGCCCCAGAGGCCCCCAAGACCGCCTCAAGACGGCTCGAGAGGCCCCAAAAAGGGCCCCTAGACAGTCCAAATGAGCCCCAAAATGGCCCCAGAGGCGCCCAAGATCGCCCAAGAGGGGCCCCAAGACGGCCCCAAGAGGGGGAACACGAACCACCAATTCGAGCCTTCCGCCCCAAGAGGCCCCCAGAAAATCCGAAGAGGCCCACAAGAGAGCCCGCGAGGCCGCCTGGAGGCCCGACGAGGCCCCCAAGAGGTACAAAAAGAGGCCCCAAGACCTGCGATGGCACAATAGAGGCGGGCGGAATGAGCGAAAAAAATATAACGCATACATACTTGCACGCTGCGTTGTAGGTGAAGCCGGTCTGCTTAGAGAGCGGCGAAATACAGGGGAGACCCTGTCCCGGGTGTTTGCAGGTAAAGGCATGTCAACCGCAATGGGGACAACGCGAGTACAGTGAACCGGCCAGATGTATGCAACCACAGGCGGGAGATGTGCAAGCGGTGGAGACATGCAAGAAAAGGCACCATCTTGG